GTTTAATTAAAGCAAGGTTAATGCTTTAATTAATAATAAGTAGAATTAAATTTCTCTTTTCCCTTAATAAATTTCTTAAAATTTCTTTTTTAATTTTAAATAAAAAAGAATAAATAGTTTTTAAGGTTTAAAGATATTCTTAAAATAAAAGTAAATTTAAAAAGGCTTTAAGCTTAAAAATATAATATATATATTATAATAATTCTTATTAAAATAATAATAAAATAAAGAAATTTAAAAATAATAATATTTTTAATTAAAGTAATTATTTTTAAGAAATTTATTTTTAATATTATTATAAAATACTTAAATTAAAGTTTAAAAAATAAAAATATTAATAAATATAATAAATAAAATAAATTTAATAAAAGGATATTTTATTAAAAGATAAAAATTATAAGGTTATAATAAAAAAAGCCCCTTAAATTTATATTTAATACTTTACTTATTAATATTATATTAAACCTTTAATAAATTAAATTTAAGTTTAATTAAAGCTTAAATAAAATTATACTTTAAGTTTAAGTTTTTTATATAATTTAATTAATATAAAAATATATAATATAATGCTATTTATTAAATTTATAAATAAGCAAGGTAAGCACCTTAATTTTATATTATAAACCCCTTTACTTTAAACTTAAGGTTATAATAATAATAATAAATATTAATTAAGAGTTTAAAGCACTTTTAATTAATATTAAGTAATATTTATAAAGTTTAAATTTATTATTTTAATCTTAAGTTTATATTATTATTATATTTTAAGCATAATCTTTAAAAAGAAACTTAAAATAAATTTAAAGCTTAATAATATATTAATATAAAATTAAGATAATATTTTATTTAAATATTAAAAGCATAAAAAGTACCTTAAAATTAAAAAATAATTTTAAAATATTTATAATATTATTATAAGTTTAATTATATTTAACATTTTTTTATAATAAATTAAAGATAAATATAAACTTTAATTAAAGCTTTAAGCTAATATATAAAATAATTTAGCAATATTTAATATAAAAATAAAAAGAAATAAAATTAATAAATAATTAGCTTATAACTAACTTTTTATTTTTCTTATTATTAATTAAAGATATATAAAATTAAAATTATATTTAAGCTAAATTATTAATAAAAATAAGCTACTTAAATAATAAAGAATAAATTTTACTAAATCCTCTTAAGAATAATTTAAGAAAGAGCTTTAATGTAATAAAGAGAAAAAATAAGAATAAAAGAGAATTAAAAAAAAGGAAAAGATAAATATTTTAAAAATTCTTAAAAATAAAAAAAGCTTAATTAAAATATTAAATATATAAAAAAAAAAAAAGTTGATTTCTTAAAAGAATGTTTAAAATAAGCATAAAAGCTAGCTTTTTATAGCCAGCTGAAATTTAACGCAATACCATTTCTTACATAATTCCCTGTACCTGCCAACAATATTTATATAATTTACTTAAATATTTTAATAATAATTTAAATATTAGCTTTAATCTTAAGCCCCTTATTTGTTATGGGCTGGCCTCAAACTCGCAGAATAAAGGTGCCCAAATAGAGTTAATATTCAGAGTATAAAGGAAAAGGTTCACTCCCCATCTGCACCCGCGCCAAAGCCTATTCTTATAGGGCCAAAGCCCGTTAACTAATTACTATAAGCATAAGCCTAAACCATAACATATCCCCTTTCCCTAGGTTAGAGCCGCAAAGAGGCCTTCCCAAGGGGTTAACTATATAACAAAAAATAAAAGAAGCATTACTTTAATTGCGAATTAAACATTGCCTTTTACCTAGCCATTTAATTAACCCACAGTGCTTTAACTACGCTATTAGGCCAGCCTATATTATATATATATTTTTATCCTTTTCATACCCTATAATCTAATATACTAACTAAAGCAAGCTAATAAGAAATGATTATTTAAGCGTAAATTAGCGGCTAAGCTAGCGGCATTCCTAAGATCCTTTAGTTTATACCTTTTACATAAGCTCCCTTACCTAAAGCCTTAAAGCCGCAAACTTATTATATAACCTATAATTAATTAACGTTTAATTGCAAACAATCTGCTCCATTAGCGAAAAGTTCTTAGGCCCTAAGAGTTTCATAACGTTAAACCAGCTAACACCAACTAACCCGCTTTAAGCTCAGGCCGGCACCAAGCTAACATTGCTTTAAGCCCTACCCTATAAAAAAAAATTTACATGCTAAAAATAACCTTAATTAAACGCCTCCCCCTCGCTAGGCCTAATTAATAATAGCTGCATATAAGTTCTTTTACAGCGGTTTAAGCAATTATACTTATAGTAATTAAGCTAGCCATAAGCATAATACTTAACTCCCCCTACCAAGATCGCCATAATATTAATATCCATTACTTTGCCATTCTAAGGTTAAGTATTATTCTTCGCTATTATAACGCTAAAAATGCCCTTATATCGCCATAAGGCAAAGCAGAATGCCTTAAATATCTTTAGCCACTTCTCGCAATCAAGTCTTAACTTTGCTAAAGCAGCAAGTTTATTAGCCATAAGTAGTATTCTGCAGTTATTTAGCTAAGCTTAGGCCTTAATTATATAAAAAAGCTAATTAAAGCAAGCAAAAAAATTTATTATTCCCTCCCCATAGCATTGCCATAGCATAACTAAGCTAAACCTAACATGCCTTTACTTAAAAGGATTCCTAAGCGCAAGGCAAACCCTCTTTAAAAAGCTCTTTAGCTGCCCCTTAAATATCTTCGTGAAACTAACATAAGGCAAAAATTAATCGCGGAAAGTTCCTAATCGGCTAAACATATAAAAAAACTAAGCCCCTTTAATGCCAATTACCTCCCTATTTACTACAAACTTAGCTCTTATCTCCACCAATTAAGTTACTAAACTTTTCCAAAATAAAAGCTCCTTAAGATAAGGAAGGGCTTAGCAAGCTGCCATTATTCCTTCCAGGTCTTATTATACTAGGTTTTATATAATTACATTATAGGTTCATAATGCAAGAGGACTTTAAATATATATTATAAGCTAGCCTTAAACTTGCAGAATAAAGGTGCCCAAATGGAGTTAATATTTAAAGTGCAGAAGAGAAGGTTTACTCCCCATCTATATCCATGCCAAAGCCTATTCTTATAGGGCCAAAGCCCGCTAATTAATCACTATAGGCACAAGCCCAAACCATAACATTATTATATATATAGATAATAATGGGGCTGAGAAATTAGCTAAAAATACCTTATTTTATAAAAGAACTAAACATATAAATATTGCATATTATTATATAAGAGAAGCAATAGAAAATAATAAAGTAATATTAAAATATATAAATTTTAAGCAGAATTTAGCAAACTGGCTTACAAAACTAATAAATAAATTACATTATAAAGAGTTTAAAGAAAAGTGTAGTTTAATAGAAAAATAATATAAAAATATTAAGCTAGAAAATAAAGAGATTTTCCACCTATATTATAATGCGCGTAAAATAAATTAAGGTATTTACTCTTTAATAACTAGGGTTAAGATTTTTTCCTCCATTTATAAAATATATAAATAAATAAAGCGGACTTAATTATATATATATATAATATTACCCTAAATACTGGAGGTTTTCCCTTAAAAGAAATAACTAAAATAATAAAGGTTTTTCCTGAAAAATAAGCATTACTTATACGGCCTATATATACCATATATATACATAGTTACAATATACTTACAATATACCTACATTGCGTTTATATACGTTTAATTCTATACAGAAAACGTATCTCCGTAGTGTATATAATATAAATAAAATGACGTGTGACTTTAATGTGTAAAAATGCCGTGATATACCGTAGCCATTATAAAATAACTAGTAAATCCCATATAAAACCATAATCTAATATGTAATACCCTACTGGCTATAAGTTTAAGTTTAAGTGATAGCAAATTTTTGGGTTTTTTGCCTAAATATATAAATACTTAATAAGTAAGTTTTTCCCCTTTTATAAGGTTTTCTTACTATATAACTAAATATTCCTCTTTTATAAACTAAATCCCTTATATATAAAATAAAATAAATAAAAGGGAATTAGTTTAAGGGGGGCTGTTGGAATATTCTAGATATCTAGGCTATTATTAATATGGGATATCCTTTTCCCCATACGTTTGCCACTGTATGGAGGATAATAACTATAAATAAGGGCCTTCCCTCCCGTTGAATAGACGTCAGCTAGCCTAATAGACTAAGCATCCAACGCTATTATTTGACATCGGCTGGGTAATTAGGCGTCGTCGAGATGATTGTAGACAGGAGTCAGTTTGAACATCGGTGAGGCGTACGTGGATTACAGACGCTTTGCCAAATCCGACAACCCCAAATGGTGGGTAGGTACACTGAAACTCCGCGAGGCCATGATCATATGCACAACGCTGACTGGCTCAGCTTGCTTTTCGTTGCAATCTCCAGTTTGATGCAACAGCGGGAAGGCACTAGAGATAGAACGATTTCACATACGAAGGTCATCCAAGGCCTTTCATCCCAATCTGCTGTGGCTGTTGTATGCAGGGTGAGCACCCAAAACCTCTGACTAGGACATGTAGTTAGTATCTTGGGTCTGAGCTGAGCTCACATTTGCTCGAATGCCGTAAGCCACCAAGTCACCACTACGTAGAAACTGAGAGGATCTTTTTGTATTGATCCGTCGTCAAGTCTGCTTGCCTGAGGCTCAGAGTCACGTAAGAGTATTGGTCTTCCGGATTGACGGAAATGAGCTTTGCGATATTCTTTTGGTAAGTATCCAAGTGAAGAAGTCTCGTAGGCTTGGCACATGGACGCCTGTACCGTCGACAGAACCGACGCCCTGGACCTAGGCATAAGTCGACCCAGTCTTTGATGAGCGGATGGCGACTATCCGGTTCTGCAACGGGAACTACGCGATTTTGGAGAAGGGAAGCTATTGTAAATAGATGTGTGAGAACCAGGCCACACATTTATTTGATTAGCAAGGTGGTATAGTGAAATGATTTGCTTACCACTTTTATCAGTCAGCGAATACAGGAACTTATGCACAGGCATGGCATCTCTGACGCGGAGAATCCTATACGAGGGTCGGTCATCATATTGAAATCCGAACGCGATTGGCTTGTCGTGATCTGATTTCCACTTGTCAGGCTCGTCCAAAGCCTGAGCAGTCCATCTATTGTAGACTTTAGTGCACAGTTGAGACCCTGCCCCCGCGGATCGCCGCAGGCTGTCGATAGACGGATGGTGCTCGTACAGCCTGGGGCCCCACGGCGCGAAGCAACCAGCACCGAGCTCCTTCCAAAACTTCTTGAGGCCGAATATCGCCCGAAAATTTAAACATAGACTAGTATCGCGGATGAATCGCTCAACATCCTCCGGCGAGTATTGCCGGACGAGAACCGAGCTCGACCGAGTGGTCGGTGCTAGCTCGGAACAAGCGAGCTGTGACGGGCTGGTAGAGGTCATGGAGTCGGCGTGAGGCTTTTCACAGTGGTAGGATTATAAAGAGGCATAGTTATGGAACAGGATCAAGGTTGGGCAGAGTATTATCTCAAGCACTTCTGCCTGCGAGGATGAGTGGACCTTGCCGTGACTTTGTAAGTGGACAACATAAAACTCCACTTTCACCTATATTATCGCCTAGCGGTGCTTTCAAATTGCCTCATCATACCAGCTGGCCGTTTCAAGGACCATTACTGAGCGGAGGGAGGAGCTGTCCTGGAGCGAAGCGGGAGAGCAGCCATGAGCGGATCGTTCAATTACTCTACAATACGATAGGCCGAACAAAAGTCTCGTGCGGGGACATATATCTTCGCATATACAGTACGTACTGGATGTACTGTACGTCTTCATCCGAGCGACTTCACGTAGAAGTTGCCGCAGGGTGTTCAGGGAGGAGCGGCCCTCTTGAAACAAGTCCTCTGCGTATCCCTCAACTTTTGCAATATTCAACCACGCATTTGTCGTTGAAGGACAAAGCTGAGTCGTTATATAGTTTTACCTGGCTGGAGATCAAACTTATTCAAGAATCACCTTAGCATCTTCAGCCATCGTATTCACACCCTTTCTGGACGCTGAGAAGTGAAAACGCCACTTGTGACCTAGGTCGCCTCTGCTAACAATCTGCACTGGAACTTCATCCTTGGGAGTTGGCATGGACGATGTCATGGGAATGTCCTTCCGAGGCTCTGTCCACTTGCCATCTCGTGTGGCAGGTTTGAGATCAAAGCGGAGCAATAGCAGAGCAGCAAAGGACATGACTTCAGTGCTGACAAAATGTCGTCCCGGGCAGAGCACTGTCCCCCATCCAAAGGCTCGGAAGGCAACAGGGTTTGTTCGCTTCCTGCCAGGCTCCCGAAGAAACCGGCGATGGTCAAATTCGTTCACATCCGGGCCCCACAGTGACGCCTCGGTGTGCTGGACTGGGGTGACGGTCATGACGGTAGCACCCTTCTTCAAGAGGTATTGGTCGGCGAACATGGTGTCACTCATGACCACCCTAGCAGCGATCCCAATATGCGAGTATCGCAGCATCTCCTGCCACGTTGAGAGGAGAACAGGGCACGAAGACTTGACCTTGGCCAGGTCGACGGTGGACACGCCATCCTTGTCCACTTCGACGAGCTGCTCGACCTCCTTCCGGCAGTCGTTGAGAACCACCGGGTCGGAGAAGATGTGATATACCATCCAGAACGCGCTCGCCACGCTGTTGGTCAGGGATGCGACCATCTGACCGATCTCAGTGGCGGCTACGTCTCTGCCCCGCAGACCATGGCCTGTGTTGTGATTGTAGCGGCATTGTACGAGGAGGGATCCCTCGTGGTGACCGTTGGCGGCGAAGTATTTCTCAAAGGCCGGAATGAGAAGGCGCTCTCGTGCGTGTAGACTGTTACGCGCAAGGAGGTTTGGCCACGCTTTGAGCATATGGACCATGATGCCCGGTTCGAAGTCGCTAGGTTACAACTAGATCAGCAAGCGTCTCGACAAGCGCTGGGATCTGACCGGGGGTGGACACTAAGGGACGTGGACCTACTACCATGCTTTCTCGAGAACAGGGTCTCTAAAGGGGTTCTTTGGTCCGTAGATAGACTCGGTCGTGGCCATAAAGAGCTCTCTACGGACCCAAGAGAAGAGCTCTACTGACGCTGGGCCCTTGGCGGCAAGGGCCCCCAGAGAGTCCGTAATGTACCGAATCGCCGCGCTGTTGATTGCGTCGAGTCCGGCGCCCGGGGCCATAGCTGGCTGAATGGAAGGGACAAAGGTCGACAGGTAAGAGCCGTCCTCGAGCATCTGATCTGAGCCGATGATGGCGTTTCCGGCCGGCCCGACGCCCATCACCGTCGCAGCCGCCTGTGCCTCGACAGGGGCGAACGCGATGGTCTTGATCTGGCGTTGCAGCGTAGGGATCAGGGATACGGAATTCACGACGTATATCCGCTGACCTGGCATGCGGAGAGTGTATATTGGGAGACCATGCTTGTTTCTGCATGCTGTGAGCTTCTAATAGTAGGCATCATGAGTGGACAACAGTGCTGCTGCCATTGGGTTGTAAACGGGAAGTGACCGGCCTTTGTTTTACAAAGAAGTTCTGCTTGCCCGGAATAAGACCAAGCAGTGGACTGATAAACGGTATGGAGGTCTCGACCGCAGGCGGCTCTTTTGCATCGTGGGTGAAGTGAAGGAGCGCGAAAAGAAACATATAAGCCGCAGCCGGACTTCCAAGGCACAATGCGAGTGTAGAGGTCATTTTTCCGTACCTCTGATCCTCTCCCAGCTGGCTTTCATAGGCCAAATTAATGGCGATCGAGTGAAATGTGAAACGAGCTGGCTGTATTGTGCCCGAATAAAAGACTCAAGACCAGTTGGTGTCTCTGGGCAGCACGTAACTGCCTGTAGTAACTATGTCAAAGCTTCTGCAAAAATTCCGGAGAGGGCGTATGACGAGCTCGCGGAGTTTGGTAATACGGAATTGATGGGTCTCGGATATCAGGGGCTGCAGTTCAGCTACGAAAGCTTCCTCCAAGGGACTGCGTTCCTTCTGGTCAGACTTTGACCCGCTTGCTGTGCCACTGGCTAAACAGTCGGCTGGTGTGTTGGTTCTGGGGGTTCAAATATTCCTGCACCACCTAATCTTTCTTGTCTGCTTACGGCTAGAGGACGTTACACCGCAGCTAACGTTTTATGCCTAGACTTCCTGAACTCCTTGCTAAACTCCTTAGCTGATATCCCCACGTCCGGAGCAATCTGACGGAAGCACCACTCTAGGTTCCTGGGTACGAGGCATCCAACAATGGAAGGATGTTAGTTCGTCAATGAACCTATGCATCAGGGGTGTCTGTATCCAATCCGCCACGCTACTTATCCGGTTGTCCCACGATATTCATATTCTGTGAGGCTCAGAATAGTAGTCATCCATTGGACACTGCATTGCTTGGAAGCTGATTTCTACAGGGTTGGACTCGACCGGCCCGACAGACCCCTTCGTCGCCCACGCTGGATTAGATGATGAGTTTGAGGATTCCGGGGAATGAATTCTTGGTACTGCTCGGCCCCAGGAGGGTTATAGCAGTGCAATCCTAACAGGGCATTGCAGAGTGGTTGGCTCCCAGGCACAGACTAAATCATGCAGTTGGTTGGCCTTGGCTAGCAAACCGTCAACATTTGCCGTTGGGCCTAATTATCCACAAACGTGTAACACTACCTCAGTGGTGGGGGCCGTGGCATTCAAGTTATTATCTTGTATGGGCGTGGCAACCCTGATTTGAAAGCAGACTACGTGGAGGGGCTTCTCAATTGCTTGTCGATGCCCAGGTGAGAACTCAGGACTCAAGAGATTGAAGACTTTGGAGATGAGGCTCACTTCAGCCTGAAAATTGCCGCCAAGCTGATTCGTACACAGACGCCTCGGTGTGGAATTTCAACGATTGAAGACCTACCATCACTGAACGATACGGGCACGCTATCCCACTTGGTGCCGCTCGCTTTCTAATTCCAAGGTAACACATCTCGCTGTGATCAATTTATACCTCACGTGTGAATTCTTTTGATCGTGTTCCGCAAGCACGGATGGGAATCGGTGATGATGGATTTCGTAGCCGCATGCGAGTGTAGAACCCTTTGCAAGGTGCTAGCAGTTAGTTGCGTTGTAGCGCGCTTCCGGCAATTTGCCTCTAGATATGCAAGTCGAAGACAATTCCATCGTTGAGCCCACTAATACCCTCCAGCGTTAGGTTTACTTTTCTTTCTCACTGCATAGCTCGAGTACGACGACCTCTTGCATACTCGCGTATTGAAGTAGGAAGACGCTTCGCTTCCGGAAACCCACGAGCCAATCCTCTCACGTTCCACCAGCCCATCATAACCGGAACCTTCAATCATACTTGTAGTGGCTGAAAGAGTAAGAGCATCCTCGTCGGCCAGATACACCTTGAACTCAGCAGCGACGGGACGCGCCAGCGCCAGGTAAGTCAAGTCGGAATCGATCAAGCCCTTTCCGATGATGCTCAAAGGACGCTTCGGATCATGGCAATGCTCTCTTGCGATCAGAATGATCCTGTCTATGCTCAAGTAGCGACCTATCGCGGTGAGTTGTGAGTCGAGTTGAAAGACAGGGCGCCCTCGAGAATGCATCAGACACCAATCACCCGGCTGGGCCGTTGACGGGAGAAACACATCGTCCAGCTTCGCATCCTCGGATGCTTGATCATCAGGCCGAGGTCGGATGTTGTTGTCCCAGGTCCGGATGCTCACATTCCTGCTTTCTGCGAGTCCTGGAAAAGGAAGAGATGCTCCCTCAAATGCCCACTGGCTGCCTTCCTTAACAAGACGACAACCCCAAAATGCATCATGTTGCTGAGACCCCTCTGCAAACGGCAATTCCTTGGGGTTTCCTGAATCCATGTGCATATCCAGGGGACTCCACAAAGCACGACGTCTTATTTGTTCAGCAAGTTGCTCCGAAGGCTGAGCCCCCAGCCCAAGGTTCCGAGCAACACAGTCGGCTGCGTCGTACCAACGGCCGTCCCAGCCACCTGGCTTCTTCCTGATAACTGCCATGGCTCGCATTGCAAGATGAAAAGGATCTCGGCCATAGTCCACAGAGATCGCTTCACCGTCAGGCCATCTCACCATAGAGAGGGTTCCATACACTTTGTCTCTGATGTCTCCGCACTCCTGATATCTGATCTTCCACATGAGAGAGCCAAGGCTTCTTTTCTGAGGGTCTGGCGAGGAGCCTGCACCCAGCAGCCAAAGAAAATATCTGGTCCATCCACAGCTGTAACGACGCAGCTGTTGTTCTGATGTCCGAGGGTGGAACATCCTCCACGCGCAATCAACAGGCTTGATCGTCCAGAAAGAGGACAGAAAAACGCTCACTTGAGCCAGTCCAAAAATGGTACTCATAGGAACACATGCTGATCCGCAGCAGACGCTGACGCTTCTGCCCAAGAACAGTTCCTGGTATATCCACGTGCGTTGGAAGTAAGCGGTCCCGAGGAGACACTCCAGCGCCTTGCAGAGACGGATGACTGTGCATCTTGGCATGCTCAAGAGGAAGAACTTTACCATTCGGTACCACTCGCGATCCGACGCCCGTGCAATGTCAACCTGGAACTCGTCCCGCGGCGCCCAGTGCCCCCCGATCTTCCCCAGCTGTCTGGACCGGGACTGCAGCTTGCGGAACAGAAATTGGCTGTCGGTGCCCTCGACGGGCGCCCCAAGGGATGCCAGCACTTTCTCGGCGCGACGGTAGATGCGCCCCATCGAGGCCACCTGTGCCTCCTTCTCTGGCTTGTTCAGCTGGTCGATGCAGACCGCGTCGCACCAGTAGAAGCTATGGTCAGGTGTTTCCCTGCCCGTGAAACGAGACCAGAGGCCGGTAGTACTCAGTTTGGCTTCACAGAGTGCGACCTCGCAGTTCTGCGTCACCCTCATGAGGCGGCCATTGATGCGCAAGCGGGCGGTCCGGGCCGGATCGCCCCAGCTGTAGGAGATGGCAGAAAACGCCGGGCTTTCGTCGATGCGGCAGGTGATTAATTCGCATTCTAGCGTGAGCGGGTCGTCTTTTTCGTCGATGAACCTTATTTTCATCAGTCTGATAAAGCTTGAAGCATCCGGGAGAGGCTTGTGCTGGTATTCCGGGCTTGGAGTGAGGTCCGCTTTGTTATCCATAGCGCCCATGTGGGGAGAAGCAGGGCAGAACTGCTGTAAAAACCGCTTCGCGGAACGATTCCCGAATCCCCCCTTTTTAAGGGATCAGCACACTTGGGTTGCGTATCAGCCCCTGTCCCTGACGAAGCTTCGCTTGAGCCCTGTGGAGAATGCTGTGAAGCATGTGATTCGTTGATCTCCCTGATTTTGAGGGTTGTGGGTCTACCATTCTAACGGTCTACAGGGATTCTAGCACAGATCTGATGTCGAATGAGTTTATCGTTATTGGTTCGAGCTGGATATGCCCGAGCACTTTGTCTTGTCCACATATGCGCACAGTTCCAGCAGCCGCCCTTTGCGTGTTCTACGTGCACATGCTAATACACAGTCATTGGAAACAAATTCGAATTGGCTGCGGGGGGCACGATTGTTTCAGGAGATCCCACCGACACATAGCCGGGTCTCGAGCATAACTCGAGCATACGGAAGATCATTTGGTAACAAAAGAAGCTGTGGAGTGCCTGCGACGCTCATGATTCCTGGAACCCGTTCGCAATATTACGACCTCAGAAGCGAGTCTTGAAGTATGGGAACAGCGTCGCCGCAGCATTCTTGCCACAAGATGTTGTGTCGTTGTTGGAGGATGGGTTGAATTAACAATGGTCGTCTACATTGTCTTCAACACATTGGCCATATGTGCCATTCACTGGCTTGATAGGATACTAAAGGGCACTAAAGGAAAGCGAACTTGAAGCATAAAAAGGAAACGAGCGGGACAACTGCTATTGCAATTATGTAGCCTCTACAAATATGAGCACTGTCGCTGTGCTAAGTAATGCAGATCTAACCACCGCCCCTTCCCCGGGACCACTTCGTAGTCGTTATCGCTGTCGCTGTCGCTGTCGCTGTCGCTGTCGCTGTCGTTGTCGGTTTTGAACGATGTGGGGCTGGGGCTCAGCCCACCTAGGTAGGGCTGGATCGGTTTTGCAAGACGAATGACATCTTCAAGGATTGTCAGCTGTGGCTAATGGCTTACATCGATCCCTGGCTGAAGCCTGCCATGACTGACGACTGTATCTTGGCACTTGATTAACACGGATGCAATGTAATGACGGGATGGTCTTGGACACGCAGAATGGGTCTGTGTCGCGCGTCCATGCTTTACATATATAAATGGAGGATGTCGGTTTGGCTTTGGCGGATTTTTAAACGCAAAGCCATCATCCGCAAGGCTGAAAGTGAGAAACTCAGACGTCTTAGAAACCACATACCATCACAGAAAGGCCCCCCATCCTCACACATCATGTTTTCCTCCTCCGTCCTCTTTGTGGTCACACTTCCTCTCGCCATTGGGTTCCCTCATATGGCATCGGTAATCTCGCACCGATCGGAGCCTGCGGAATTCCCTGCGGCCAACTTCAAACGCACCTTGTAGTGGACTGACAGAGAAGCATTTTAACTGGAAAGCCCCCGGCAAGGGAGATGGTATGCATCCCTCCAAATGTCCTTGAGTCTCATGCATCACTCTCTTTTCTCCCTCTCTTATAACAAGATGTTAGTTCGTGCTCCTTGCCCGGTAATGAACACACTCGCAAACCACGACTTCGTGCCGCACAATGGTCGCAATGTAACAATGCCAGTCTCTGTTCAGGCCTGTCTTGATGCTTTCAATATCAGCGCGGCATTCTGTATCGACGCCTTCGGTACTGGCATAGCTGCATCTAATCCCGTACCGAATTCTACGGTCAGTAATGCACATTCAATGACAAGCACTATGCTCATTTGTGCTGTGGTGACACCATGTCGAAGGTCTGAAATTAATACAGCTCCGCAATATTTAGTTCTTCGACCTCGATATGCTTCACAATACCCACGGTGTCATCGAACACGATGGTAGCCTGTCCAGACGGGACGCCGTTTTCAACCCGACCAATCGATTCGATGAAGGAACTTGCAACAACCTTGTCAGTTATTTTGGCAATTCGACAGCCATCGACATTGCTACAATGGCCAATGCACGAGCCCGTCACGCATTTGACATGAGCCTGGTTAACCCCGGCTTCAACATCACCGAGGCTCTGTTCCAGTCATTGTAGGGGAAAATGCAATGATGATGGCTATCTGGGGTCACCCTGAAAGGCCCATTGCGAATAGAGCGTTCTATGAGTACTTCTTCCGTAAGTCGGCTTCACCCTATTCTTGTGCATTTGCTCAGTCATGTAAGGGAATGAACTATTCCGGTTGAGCTCGGCTGGAGGCCAAGTGACGTCGAGATCGACACAACCATCGGCTCGATTGTTCAGGACTTGATCGCGCAGAGTCCCCTTGATGGGCCCTTGACCTTTACTCCCTCAAATGGGACCAATTAAAGCAAATCAATCTGATGGCATCCTTCCACTTGAATTTAATTAGCACGGTTTCTTGTATATTACTCTTTCTCAAAGTGCACAATAGAGCCGGATTCGGGGGCCTCAGCGTTTACACTTGTGTAATTACTAGAGTAAACGAAAGTTGAGCTTTCAGGCATTGAATTCGATATCAACTAGATGACAGCCCAGCCCTCGGCATACAAGCGCACAAAAACGGTGGAAATGACCATGAACACTCTATCAAACGGCCAGCTCACACAATCTCATTGCTGAGCAGCAGCCTGGCTGCCCTATTCTCCCGGAGCCACAGTCTTATTAGTTGCTTCTCCCACAACACCAGCCGTCGCGTTTGCTCTGTGGAGGAAATAGAAGGCCACCCTGAATTGGAGGAAAGAGGTTGGAAACCGTGCTTATTTAAATTTTGAAGATATGGGAGTTTTGCTTTTGAGCACACAACAAGACTCCTCCCGACAAATACACTTTTGAATGAAGCCCGTATCCTGAGGTGAAGGTAAAAGTGCCACATTCCATTCCGCAATCCTCGCCCGCCTCCCCCAGAGAGAACTCCTTCATCTTACCACACTATCGATTCTACCTCCGCACCCGGGGTCTTGCGCTTCTGTTTTACTTGCGCAGCACGTGGAACTCCTCAGGAATATCTTCGGGACCAACTCCAGAGCCAGCAATAGCAAGCTGAGTGAGAAGACCAGTTAGCACAGGATTTCGACAAAATCTCATAGTTTCGACGTGATGCCGGTTCTAGCTGGCAGGTGGACGAAAATATGGAATAGAGTACTCACCAGTTCCTCAACCTTAGCATCATCCAAGCCGACAATGTCATACTGTGTAGTACCATCCGCAAGAACCACCGTATCGGGCTTGACCTCCCCCTCGCAGACAGTATTCTCAGCACGCTTGCGGCCGGCAAACCAGTAGAACGTGCCTGTGTAGTTGGGCCGAGAGTTGACACTCATGCACACCCAGTTCTGGCCCCGGAGCTCAGCCAGCCACTTGGGCGACCCGCAGCCACCGTTGGAGAAGCCCTGGGCGTTGATGTTCCAGTTTGTCGGGACGCCGCGGTAGGCAACGGTGGGGGAGTTGCCGGTGCAGCAGAAGTTAGGGTTGATGTTGGTGCAAACGGCGGCGGCGCCAGAGCAGTCATTGGAGTTGTGGAAGTAGGCGTCGATCGCGGAGACGGAGGCAACGAGGCCTAGGAGGACAGCGGTGATCTGCATGTTGGGCTGGGGGTAGGTGGGTTGAAACTGTTGGGATGATGAGGAAGATGTGGATGGAAGTGATGAGGGTGAAGAGCCAGACCTGATATCAGGAGAAGATGCCCATTTATATAATTATCAACTCGAGGCTCGGTCTCGAGGCTCGCACTCGCAGTCTTGGAAGTTTGGTGTTATTGACTCTCAGGGAGCATTGCCTGCTGCACAGGCACAGCCGATGCCGTCGTGCTTCGTTTACCGACATGATGCTTGCATGCGCTTTATTCACATGAACCGAAAATGCTACCTGCCAGTTAGAGCTTTTCGAAATGCTCAAAGAGGTAAGAGTGAGGCTGGGCATAGTACATCTCCGCGACAACCTTACAGCAAGCCGTTATAGTGGGAATTCCAGGCAGCAAGATGCCCGACCTCCGAGGCTCGGGTCCTCCCAGCTACGCTTACCTAGTTGCAACTAGGGCTGACATTTCATGACATTTGTTTGTTTACTTTTTTTTGGAAGCCTACGACACAATTTAAGGAAGGTTCCCTAGAATGAGAAGAGACTAGAGTAGGAGCACGATGAGACGGGACTAGGGTAAGAGTAGGATGACACGAGACTAGAGTAAGAGCAAGCCAAGAAGTTCCAAGACCAGTAGACTAGTTGAATCTCACGTTGGATCTGGCTAGAAACTTCCCCCGGCCTGTACCAAAAACTCGCCACGAGTCAATTGTGTGAAGAAGTCCATGACAACTTATTCAAACAATTCCAGAGAGCAGCAAGAGCCACCGTGAAGATGGAAATCGCTTCTGCGACGGCGTACACGGCGGCACACCAAATTTGTGTAGACAGTCAGTGTTCAGTTACATCGGTGAGGTCTTGTTATCGACATGCCCTGAAAACTCTTCATGCCTAGCTCAGAGGAACGTACTATTCCATGGTTACCATCCCACGACGGGTTTCCCCAGTGCAGGTATACCACACCCGACGCCGCACTCTGACCCGGACAAACCGGATTGCCCGCACCTTTGGATCGTATCCCGTGGCGTACCAAGGAGTGGCTGTATTCTGTGAATCAAGCTAAACATGTCCTCACTCATCCACTGCTCGAAACACCCGCTCCAGAACAACACAACACTGCTCGGCTCCTTGTTACTAAATTTCTCGCCATGGGAAACGCTCGAGGTGCTCAGATACTGCTTTGTACAGTCAAGCCCTACCGAGTAGGCAGCTCGGGCAAATTCAGGGGGAAGACTCGAAATTCTCGTGTCGGGCCATGATCCATATTTTACAAGCCAGATGATTCATTGAAATGTGGACTCGAAATACTCGTTAACCTGTGGAGGCAAGTCGCGGTACGGCCCGAGTTGACCATCAACTATGAGTTCGCGGATGCCGACCTTGCGGTGGCCACCGACGTCCCAGACATCAGATCCTCTACATACCCGCCTGCATCCCATCACCCCATATCTTGCGACAGTACCAGGCTAGGGCAAAGGGACTTCCCGATCTCAGACTGTCACTTATCTCGCCCTCGGCCTTGTTGAGGCTGTGCACGATGACGGGACGAGTCAGCTCAGAGTCCCGATTGTGGCTGTCAGAGATATTCTCTGTTCGCCCTCATCGACTTGGTGGTCTCGAAATTTAAATGCGAGACCTTATTTTCTTTGAAAAGGCTTCTACACGTAGAGACTAACCACAAATTCAGTCTGCGCTCGGCGCTCTCCCTAGTGAAAATGATCCCGTTTCACTTGATGTCCACACCCATCGCCCTGTGCAATGTCAACACGCGAGTACGGATCACGCGGGTGGTAAATAACAGTCACGAAAAAGAACTCACTTTGTGCTCAAGGCAAATTCGGCAAAAGTTTCCGGGTAGCACCGCTGTGATTGGAATACCCACCTCTGCGGCTGCCCTCTCGACGTCGTCTTTGGCTTTATTCACAGGGATCTGGAGCCCCTGTCCGTCGTAACGGGCCGCTAGGTCTGATGGCGCAAATAATTGGACCTGAGTGTGTGGGATTGCTTTGACAAGTGCATGCTGCCTTTCGACGCCTTCGTGGCCCACGAGGGATCTGACAAGCAACGGGCGATGTCAATTAATTTGCTTGAGATAAATATGGGTTATTTGATGGTCAAACTTACATGACAATATCAATGTCTTGCAGGGCGGCAATCAGGGCCTCGTGGTCGTCGATGTCCGCTTGTATTTTTTTCACCCCAGCTCGGAGGTTATGCGTGTCTAAGCTGGCCCTGTGTAGAACTGTGACAGGAGCTCCGTTGTAGAGAGAGCGTCGACGATGGCAGAGCTGTCCCAGCCCCTGTGGCCAAATTCAGCGATCCGGTTGTGCGGCATGATATTTCCATCCAGATTATTTGCGGGTGATTTAGTGTAGTTGAGGACTTGGGGTGCAAGGCTGCCAAGATTAAATGTATTTATGCGTATGAATCTGCACCCTTTAAGTCTTGGTTTTAGCCGTATTGGCATTGACAAGGCTTGACAAACTCTTACAAATGTTAACTTGGTGTTGTGCCTCACGCCTTTCAAGTGGGGAATGATCAGGTGTTTCCTTAATCAGCAGGTTAAAGGTTTATTCGGCCAAAGTCTCTCGTTCACGCACCGCCTCGCACGCGGGGGCTACCAAGGCTGTGAGGCAAAGAAATATAGTTATGACACACGTCCAGAAAGGGCAGTCATACAAATCTTGTGTGCTGGAAAATAACATGCAGTCGAATCAAGGCAATATCTGGGGGACAGCGGCACAGCCAGCGCGTTCTCGATAAAGTTGGCCGACAACATCGAAAGAAGGCTAGCTATCGTCTAATCATAGAGAGCGTTCAGGCTGCGGTTGGAGCTTACAATCGAGCTGACAATATTGTCTTACCTTACAGGCATGGTGGAGGACAGACATGGGACGCTCTTGGGGCAGCACCGTTAAGGTTAAAGGGTGGGATCAACATGGCATTCACGCTTTGAGAATCATGGAACAATCCATGCACACATCTTGATGTGGCGCACAACTTGAAGTTGAGACTACGGCTATTCCAAAAATAAGAGGAGTGCAAGTGAGCTACCTAGGTGTGCTGATGCAAAACTAAGATCAACCACCGCCCGACCTAGGTATTGCCACCCCCGAAGTGCAAATTCAGTTAGTCCCACTCACATTCAAGGCACAATCACTCGCCCAAAATCTCAGCCTTCCACTCCTCACGCGTCTTCGAAGCGTGCTTCCGAGTGTGCTCCCGAGCTTCCTCAGCAAACTCGACTGGGTCGCGGAAGAATCTCAACGTGGTCGTCGTGTTGACGGGATCACTGTGCTCAGGCTGGTACAGTAGTCCGTAAATGGTGTCAATGACGATACCCATGCTCGTATCGCTGGTCCAGTCGCGGTCGAAGATGCTGTGGCATATTCTGCCGTGGGCGTTGACGTTGGGGTGCTTGATCTTCGTCACAAACCGTGCCCTGGGCGCCAGCCTTGGGTACTCGTCGTCTGCGTGGAGATATAACAGGAATGCTCCGTCCGAGTACGGGCTATCATCCGGCCCTTCCACGACGATCTTCCAGAAGGAAACATCAGCTGTGCTGATGTAGACGTCGTATTTGGCGTGGACCCCACGGGCTGCAACTGTGCGAATCTCATTCATCAGGCGTGGCACGCGCAGCCTCGAGCGACCCATGCTGTTGCCTGCTGGTGCACCGGCTCCCGTAGAGGTAGCATTGCCACGTGAGGCGAGAGCATTCAACTGCACAAAGTCGTCTTCCATATTTGGATGCTCCCTGATCGGCGGCACTGTGTCACCCGTGACCAGCGTTGCTGTTGCGTGTAGTCTCGACATATGAAACTGAGTTTCAAAGTCAGGCGAGTAGGCCAGGTTATGCCGAGGGAATACAATTGGTGGTCTTTGAGAAAGAGACAGGAAAGGCTCCATCTCGCAGATCGCAAGCGCATTAGTCAATGACGGCGGATGGAATCGATATGAACCAAGCAGGTACGACAGTGTGCGCAGGTCTGTGTTGTCCTCGTCACCAAGAGATACACTGTCAGCTGAGATTCCTTTCCGAAGAAGGTTGGAGGTGATGCTGTGACTTGTATTTGTGATCGACTTGGTATCCCTTCCGTCGGAAATGACAACAATGCGCTTCTTTGCGTTGGGGAATCGGGACGCGTATTGCTCTATCTGATCCCCAGCAAGAGCTAGGGCATCCCACAAAGCCGTGTCACCGTCAGCTTTCAGCTCGTTGGTAGCTCGTCTGAAGTTCTCCAAGACATGCGAGATCGGCATTACGACTTGGGCATGGCTCGAGAACTTGACAAGTCCGACATGGTTCTTGTAGTCGTATGCCAACATCCGATTGATGAGGGCCTCAAACATTTGCTTCAGAACGTCGAGACGTGTGATCCTGTGCTTCCAGGAGTCCCGCCGAGGTTCACCGATCATGACCTTGAGAACTTTGTGGCTGGACTGCGATCCAAGAATACTTGTACTCCCCGTACAGGCGTCTTCGGGCTCTAGCTGTCCAGTGCAGTGGCCTTGTGTGAGGTACACTGCCAGTTTTTCAGTTGCATCTCGATATTGGACATGGACCCAACCATCACCGCTCTCCGTAATGTTTGTTTGGATTTCTTTCATCCGGGGCTCCGTATGGCCTTTTGTGCGCAGCCGGTGTCGCCAGTACTTCCAAATGAGCGTAGCGAGCGAATCAGTGGTATCTCTAGGAACCCAGAATCCGAAGAGCTGTTCTAGATTGCTCCTGAAGACCTTCACTAGGCACATCTCCGAAGTTTCGTTACAAGATCCCCCCGCTCCTACCCGCAAGGTATCTGAATCTTCTGGTATTCTAACCGTGATGTGGTCGGAATCGTTCAGCCCTATGGATGACACGGCGATGCCCATGCTCGTTGAGAGCGTACCCATCCCAAGAACTGAAAGTTGAAATGCTTCAAACTTCGCGTGAAGCCCACGGTATGCAAGTCTGTAAAGATCTCTCGAGCTTGTCGTACGAGCAATAGTTCTCGTGAACGAGCCAACTCGACTGTCAAAGGTCACGGTGACGACGTCGGAAGTGTCGGAAGCAGCAGTGCCAGAAACCCAGGAGACCACTTCGCCTCGAATGTCCGGCCTCACAGTGAGTGAGAGGTCGTCAAGTGGCGCACCGTGCAGCGGTGACGTCTTGCGTATGGCGAACCACTGTTGAATTGCGCTGCGAGAGTAAGTCTGACCGTCAGAGGCCTCCACCGCATCTTCCATCAAATTGTGGGAAATTGGACATCTGAGGTGGCTCGGGACCTCGGTGACGTCGTAGGGCAACATTGGAATCATCGCTGCTCCGGGAACTGCAGGAACTGGGTCACCGACAGACCACGTCCACCGCTCGACAGCATCTGGGTTTACACAACTCGCCCGAAACCTCAAAAATTGAGTCAGGGCTTCCTCGTTGATCTTCAGACCAGCACGGAAGGCCTTTAGCGCTTGCAGATCAGACTCCAAGCTATCTATTCGCGCACGCCAGACGGGCCCAGGTGCAGATCCTCGCTCCTTGTCCAAGGCTTCGGATTTCTTGTTGATCTCGGAAGATAAGAGAGATACGAGGAGGGCTAAAACCTTTTTCGTCATCCAATCCTTGAGTTGAACGGAAGCCATAGCAATAATGGCAATCATGTCTCCAAAGCTCTCGTAGGCCACAAGGCGGACTTTGCTCTCTTCCAAAGACAGCGCGTTGTGACGTTCGTCCTCTGCAGGAATTTGTTCGCCAAGGTCGATTCTCTCTTGATTCACCTCGCGAAAATCCGTGGCCCCGAGCATGCTGGCACTGGAATCGACGCAGAACACTTCATTTCAAATTTTAGAAATACTCATATGACAGCGAATTGGGTGAGGATGAGGCTTCTGGCACAAATGCTGAGCGACTTACTGATGATCTCATCTGGATCTTGCAATCTTCTCACTTCCGCGCCCCCAAAAGCATCGAAAACCGTGGATCCCTCTTGCTCGTATGTCTTGATAATAGGTGCGATGAGTTGTTCAATGACCGAAGGGTCGATTGTCTCTTCGCCATACTGTGGTCGGAAAATAATGGAGGAATGACCCGGCCGGCCACATGGTTGCTCACCAGTGTAGACTGCCAAGTGTGCATTGCGATCGAATGTAAGACATGGTTCGGCTGCAGACGTCAGTTGACTGGGCCCATGCACAGCGAGGCCGTTTCGGCCACACATATCGGCCAGGTGTAATAAGTCGCAGAGTGGGTCAAGATCAAGAGCGCAATGGGGAGTATTCGCTCGTGATCCGTAGCCGTCCCTGAGTCCACTCAAGGACAAGACGGTTACCTCGGGACAGATGCCACCGCTTTGTAAAGCAAAGCGACTCAATCTTGGGTCAATTTCAACCTCGACAAGAAATGACTGCAAGTGGGTTGCGGCCAAAACTCCTTCATCCTGAAAAGAGTTAAACAGCTTCGCTTCAACCAAACCATTTGACGTCTGGAGGGCCTGACGGACCGGCTCATGAGTCTTGTGATCACGAATGTCATAAGTATGAAATGCCAATGTGTAACGCAGCTCATTCGCCACGTCTTCACCGTCGGATACACTGGCGTCCATCATTCTGCGAAGTGATTTGGCTGACTGCAAAATGTACCCAAAAGCAAGCCGCGAGCCTTCGAAGAGGCGGGCTGGATCTTGGGTAATTGCATCCATCTCCACGTAGGTCTTCAGAACCTCGAACAATGACTGACTCATTGCAGCGCAGTCAAAGACTGTCGGCGTCTGACCGCTCACGAGCATGTGCAGGCAACGAAGTGCCGGGGGGAACCGAGTAAGCTCGTCAAAGGCCCAATACACGGCATCTTGGGCACTTTCTTCGCTCTGCATATCCTGCAGTACAGAGGCGAAGACGCGTAGAGTAGACAGGAACATTGCCATACCTCGATCAGACTGGGCAGTGGACGGTTCCCAATGAGCCAAGTCCCGAAATATGGCAGACTTCCCTCTCAGGAGAGGGGGCTCGGCAGAAGAGGTGCGAAGAACCGCGAAAATATCCACGATGCCATCAACTGCAACAGCACTGAGACCCAGCGCCTCAATACTAGATTCAAAGCATGCAGGATGGATGGGCAGTTCAGATGTGTGGAGGTCGAGTACCTGTGGTCTTATTCTATCGCTACCGTCGAGGTCAACCCGTGCGTGAATTGGTACGTGGCGTTGCTTGGAGCAGATTGAGACAACGGGCGTCTTGGTGTAATTCCTGCTGTCGTCTGGATCTTGCGTTGCGCCATTGTAAGTGATTTTCTTCCTGGTCTCAAGATCCTGGCCAAATCTGGAGAAGAGTGCTTGCTGCAGGGAACCCACTGTAGCAGCCTCGAGCGGCAACTTCACTACGTCACTCTTGCCGTGGATGACCAGGAAATGACTTGGGTCAGAAGGTCCCGAAGCCAGGGCCCTGGCCAAGGTGCAGTTACACTCGCAAGCTTCCACATTCTCTTGAGGTAGAGATGTGCAACCGATGGCGTTCGCTATGCAGAGATGTAACTGGCGGACAGTGGCGGATATCGGTACGTTCAGGATGGGACATGAGTCTCGGTCTTCGGCCGTCGATGGGGTAACGATGCGGAAAGAGAGGCTGCCCTCCTCACGATCACTCGTCTGAATGAAGGTTGGGGCTACCTGCAGAAGAACAACATTAGCAAGTGAGGCGAGGCCAGGGAGCATCGTAGAAGATTGAATGTGTACTCGAGGACTTTGGATTTGAGATGCACTGTTTCGCTTCCTTGAGAACACGGCGTAAATCTTCTCCTTTTGACAGTCAACGATGACATCGGACAGAAGATCCTCAGCATCAATGGCAGGGCCATTTTCGTGCTCGAGGTGGAGGGAGACGTTGTGAGTCTCGGCGGTCAGAGGAATGGCCCCGTCGTGTCGGGCAAGACGCTTCCAAAGTTCATCGATGAACGTCGAAATGATTGCTTGAGGGCTGAAAGGTACCAAAAGAGACGCCCGCCTGCCAGGGGACGCAAATGCGACTTCTGACGGCGGACGCACAATAACGACAAGATAGCGCTGCTTATCCATCTCGAATGCTGGGCCTCAAGACGGGTGATGCATAGTAGTGGGCAGCAGGTTTGGTTGGCAAGGCTTCTGGATGGGGTTCACCAGGACGCGTTTCGCGGAATAGAAGTGATAGAGTGGGGAGAGATGTGCCCAATTAAGTAAACACTGGATGTGGTATGCCTTTGGCAGGTAAAATCTGACAGGGTCCACAGTCTGTCATAAAGACAACGCTCGTGTTTCAGTTGTTGCCAAAGGCACACGGTGGGAGACCTAGGTAGGATAAATAGAAAGATAGTGGGTGGGCAATCTAGTGGATTACCGCCTTATACACCATCACAGACGAAGAAAGACGGCTGTAAAGTGGCTCAAAACCAAGGTTCACTTGTTTCCACCGGGTCAAAGCTCGGCTCTAAAGGGCTGGCTGCCTGGCCAACTAGATGTTCGGGCCTTGCATGTCCAAGCCAAACAGAAAGCCAGAATTCGCCTTCTTCCAGTACGAAACTGCCAGGGAAGACACCCAGCGCGTTTACTTTAGAAAACGGAGATTCGCACCCGCAAAAACAGAGGGTACACCCGTGCATACAGCGCCCCCCCCCCCCCCCAACACTGCAGCCAATCAGAGCCCACCATTACCCCACTAGCCCAATTCGCATGCCTAATTCATAGCACACCTAACTCAACACCTAACTTACACGCCTAGAGCTAATTCATATACCTAACTTTCATACCTACCTAGCTGGCCCTGAGTATGTAAATTGGCTATACTGCAAATTAAATATGTTGCAGATTGGGCGTGCTGTAAATTGGGTGTGTAAATTGGCCCTGGGGGTGTAAATTGCTATTTCGTGCACTAGGGGCTGTATGTACGGGTGTACCCTCTGTTTTTGCGGGTGCGAATCTCTGTTTTCTTACTTTAAATGTATCCTTTTTTTCAACACAAGAATATCTGTCCAAGGCCACATGAACCAAGCCCTTGTCCCTGTGGTGTCAAGAAAACTCGATTGAGACATTGAACAAAGCCAGAGCACACAGTTTCGACACAGCCTTGCACCAGAGGCTTTGCTCGATCACTGATTTGAAACATTTCCCTCGCCCGCCCAGTCTGAAATGCCAGGGCAAATTTCCAGGGTGGTGGCCCGAAGCAAAGAAAAACAAAGTTTCCAAAACCATCACTTCCTACGTAATCAACGGTCATTCAGTCAGACCTGAGCCTGTGAATCTGGCATCTGACACGCCCTTCTTTACAAGACAAGCCAGGCCGTCACGTTGGATTTCACAGTCCTTTTGAAGTATTCTGAAATTCTTGCAGGGTGCACACCTTGCTCCAGGCATACTTGTGAGGATGGCCACACAGCCATTTTTATTTCCCAAAAAGTAGCTGATTCCAGAGTGATATGGGGCAGGAAGTGAGTTTCCATCGCATTATCTCAGTCACATTGAGTTGAGACACGACAGATACAGGAGGAAGGACGCAGCCGCCTGCTAGTCTATTGGCTTGAATGAAGCGCGGTGAGGGCATAGCTTATGAGTCGATAAAACAACGGCCACCATATCAAGACCATGACAACTACGTGCCCCTCCAGCCACCCGAGTCTGCATTTGCATGAGGCAACGATCCATGGTATGGACGAGGTTCGTGTAAGCCGGGCGATAGTGATGCCAAACCCTTGGCTACCGATGACTGGGCAAATCTTGACCCCATGATTTCGTATCAGAGCTTGAATCCCAGCATGGGGATGACTCGGCGCCAAGCCTCAATGCGTGGGACAAACGCAGCGAACTACACTCAGTCACCAAAGCTATGTAGTCTTTTCCTTATGACTGGGATTACTTTGGTCCGATGAACAGCAGCTTCCGAAGAGCTTGACGAATGGAGAAAGGCTTCCCAGCAAGTCGTACAACCAGTCAAGGTCGGTTGGGGAGTGGGGGTGGTCCCGACACTCCGAAGCCCCTGAATGCAAGAAGACAGGAACGAATCCATCTGAATTTCAAATAAACTTTGACCAGAAGGTCCACCCAATTTCCCCTCGACTGTGTGGTTCCTCTATTTCGAGCTTTGGTTTCCACCCCAGTCTTATTATAAGGTAATGTCCCCGTTAGCATGGTTTGTCGTTACCTGATACAAGAAGGAAAGAGCCACCTCGCTGGTTTCGTATCGGATACTGGCCCGCCCTCGAGCCCAACAACCGGACGGCTCTTGACTTCAGTGATTGGGGGCGTTGCACGCATAGAGATCGCCAGACCAAAATATATTTCGTTATTACCGCTCTTGAACACGAGCCATGTTCTGGTTCTGTTCTCTGCTCCTCTTCGGCCCGGCAGTGTTGTCCGCAAGTCCTGCGCCAAGGGTGGGCATCCCACATCGTCACTATGAACGGGACATACTCCTAGCAGATGATCGCCACCTCAGTAAGCGACAGTTCCCGAATTCGAGTCTAGTGTCCCAGGTCTTCGAGGTCGCCCCACCCGTCCTAGGATGGGATGGGCAGGTTGTTGGAGCCGGAAGGCCAGTTCCATTCACTAGTATCGAGACAAACGTGGACGCAGGTTCAGCCGAGGAATGCAAGGTGACACTGGCTGTTCGATCTTTCGCAAACTCTTTCAACCAGCCTTTTGTGGGTGAATATACACCGCCGGAGTGCTTGGGGAACAGCAACACAGCTGTCATGAACCTCACGGTCGAGACAATCGGCAGACAATTTGATCGACTCTCATTCATGTGGGCCTTTCCTCACTCGAACGAGAAAATGGTCGTATCCTGACGGTTTACATTCGTACAGATTCCTTGGAAATACCGAGCTTTTGCGCTGGTCGACTGCTCAACCTCGGCGGAATGGAGTGACATACACAGCGATCAAAGACGCCTCATCGTTTCTGCCATTGTGGCGGCAACCACAGAGGGTCATTTTCGACCTTGGCAATCTGATCAATGAAAATGTATGATTTCAGATTCTTTGATCCACTTGCTTTTCATGTGAGAGAGACTGACGTGAAAATGGGTATCAGTTGGACGGCGTATTCAACACAACACTGGAGGTTACTTTCTTTCAAGCACCAGGCGGTCTCTCTTCCAACGCAGACAAAATAATTCCGATCTCCAGGCGGGTAGGTCTAAATGAATCTCAGCCAAGTGTCTTCAACACGGCCGAGTACAATGCGACAACTATTGTCAGGGATTTCCCACGCAACGCCAGAAAAGCCATCTTCACAATCCAGGCCTGCGGGCAAATTGATGAGGAATTCTGGTGGTCGAATCTTCCCAGCTCCACGGCCCTCTCGTTCAACGCAACTGGGAACCCCTCGGGCGGATTCTCCGCCTACAGAGAGATCCAACTTTTCATCGACGGCCAGCTGGCAGGGATTCAGGCACCTTTCCCTATAATTTTCACAGGAGGCCTCAGCCCTTCTTTCTGGAGCCCGATAGTAGGAATCGACGTTTTCGACGAGAAAGAGGCCGAGGTAGATATCTCGCCGTTCTTGCCGGTACTTTGCGACGGTGCACCGCACAACTTCACACTCAGAGTCGTGGGACTTGATGACGACGGAAATGATTCGGCAACCCTGTCCACAAGCGTTGGTGATTACTGGCAATTGTCCGGCAAGGTCTTCGTCTGGACTGAAGATGATGCTTCTTTCATTACGACTGGACCGGCGCCCACCCTTGATGCTATTGAACCCGTCATCACCCTCGGCCAAAGCCTGACGCAGAACGCAACGGGCGCCAACGAGACGCTCAAGTACGATGTATCTGTCACGCGCTCCATTCGTATCTCAGGTTCCATTTCAACCCCTGACGGCCCAGTCAACACCACTTGGACACAGGATGTCACAACCACCGCCACGGGTTTCATCAGCGACTTCGGGAATACCTCGAGCGTACACTTTAAAACAAGTGCCACTACCTCTTCGGCCCGCGATGATGCAATCGAGTTCTCAACCTCAGCTTCGTATCCGCTGGTTGTCAACTCCACGCAGTTTGCCTTGCCCAACGGCACAGTACGCACAGACACCGTGCTCAGCCGCTCAAAAGACACAAGCAGGACTGTAGGCGAGGAAGATGTCTTCCCGAGCGGGTTGCAGGTCTTCTCAGTCCTGCCTGCGACGGCAGATGTTGTGCCGAATATCACAGAGTTGTCCCTCTCGACTTCTCAGGAGGCATCCGGCACGCGCTTGGTGTTCCCAGGCGGTGGTGCACAGAATGGTAGTTATGCCGTTGCTAGTGTCGGACAGGAAATTCTGTTTGGAGGGAAGACGAACGGGGCCGCAGGGGTCACTGAGCTCTACTTTAGGGATGTGTCAGTCCGTAGTGATGGTTCGATTGTGTCTGACACTGAGAGAGTAGCTGGCAGCGAGGTTGCCCCGGGCAGGGCGGGGTTGGGGCCAGGAGCATGAGCTTGAAATTTCTACCCGTTGAGGCTACCAAGACTATGTTGTTTCAGACTCTGAAGACAAATGGGTATGCACAAGTATCAGGTATTCCGAAGAGTGAGAGTAGCCGACTGACCGGCTTGCCTGCCTAAGGGCTAAAGGAAACCTCTGGGTAGTAATCATCAAGAACTAGAATCAAAATATTCGACTTCCGATTCGGTGTACTGAATCAACACTGGCATCAACAACAGTCGCATCAGGAACCTATGTCTGAGACCTGGGGGATGGAGGGCTCACAAGCTCTGGTAAATTTAGAAGCAACCCAGAAATTAATCAGTAGACTTGCGACATCGATACTTTTTTGTCTGATTGAGGATGCTGGGAAAGGATTCGTCTTGTGTAACGCGATTCAGGGATCGAATCCTCAATTACAGTCCCAATCTTGAACGTGTCGTTATTGTGTGTATAACGTGATGATGAAAGAGCACATGCGCAAGGAGACAGCTTCAATATTTCAGGAGATGAGACTACGGGATTTACGAATCATGAAACAGTAATTATAGCACATGTGTAAGCACTCGAAACTAGTTTAAACCGATAACCACAATCCAGAGATCGAAAGATAATCAGAGGAAGGGTAGAGAAATAGGCCCAGGGAGAAAATAGAACTTGAATAGTACCATCAATACTATATCCTGATCTCAACAGGTAAAACCGCATTTCCGGTTTGATTTCCCTAAGATTGACACAATTCTTTTCTGTGGAAACACACTGGAGAGACTCCCACTGCATAGAGCAGCTAGTGACGCATCACTCGAGTCCCGGATAGTCCTCGCTCTGGAATACTATCACATACATTGCCAACCTGATCCTGTCAAAATAATCCGAGCGTGGGTCGGCAATGAATTCGCGGACGCTCAAGCCTCGGACGTTTACGATCCTCTGCCAGGTATGCCAATCCTCGGCGCCCGGCACAGGTACGTCCATAATTTCCTCGAGCATGTCCCGTGCGGCGTCCCGTGTGTTTTCGCTGACCAGTGTCACGTCGGCACCGGCCCCGATCAGTGCAAAGATGGTGTGCATTCTATCGCTGCCGGACTGTGTCGCAGTAAGCTGGACCCCGATCCCGCCCACGGCCTCATTCAGGGCCGCCCTGCCAGTGACCTCGGTCGCCTGGTCCACAGGCTCGCCGCGCAGTAGGAGGAGGTGCACAATATCTGGGCGTTCGTTCCGAGCGGCCCAAACGAGGGGAAAGCGGGTACCATAAAGGGGCTGGGGCCGGAAGTAATACAACATGTCCTCTATCACGTTTCCATCCTCGTACGCATTGTCAGCCTGTCCATATACCTGGAGATACGAATCAATGAGTTGGAAGATGCGCGCGCGCCAGGCCGTCCCGAACGCAGGATCGTATATAAGGCGTCTGCCGACCCATTGTAGCGTAGACAGGGGACGGTTAGGGTCGTCGCGATAGTCATAATCATCGCTGCCGTTGCTGCTGGAGCTACTGCCAGAGCCACTGCCACCGCTTCCACTGCCACTGTCGTCACTATCAACAGGAGGATAGTCGATAGCGTGCTGCCGGCGTGCGTCCATTACGAACACGTCTATATCATCCGTCAAGTATCCCGCTGGAGCTGCCATTGTCAGGTTCCATAATTGGGGAAAGTTAAGATAACCCATTATTTGAAGCCGAAGTTCTGCTGGAATAGCACCGCCAACTCTTAAGGTCTTGCGGGGTGGCGGCGGCGGTGACCCTTGGTTGTCGTCGTCATTATCGTCGCCGTCATCGTCGCCGCCTCCATCGTCTCTGCGTCGTTTTTGGCCTGCTCCTCCTGGTGGATCACCACCTTGATCATCGCTTCCCTGACCATCGTCTCCATCATTATTCTCTGGCTGGTCATCCCCTGGATGGTCACCATCTGATTGGTCACCGTCTGGTTGGTCACTGTCTGACTGGTCACTGTCTGACTGGTCACGATCATCAGTGTAGAGACTGTGGCCTCCGTTCGTCAGACGAAGATAGAGATCAACCTTCAGACCGGAGCTGTCGAGCCCGAGTCCCTCGAGTTGAGCCCGTAATCCCACCACCGTAGCCCGGAGAAAATAAGGTCGGTCCACCACTGGGACGAGATGAAAATTTTTTGTGGAACCAGCCATGCTTGATTTCTGTTGATACCTTCTTATTTGCTTCGGGGTCTTTTTACTTTTCCTTGGTGCTGCTGCGGGTGGCTGTAGCTTCTGGGAAGGTATTGTGATCTAGAATGGCAAACAGGAGATAGTGTTCAACTCTATAGCATTGAAAACATGACTTTACTTACTGAAGGAAACTTTTTACTGCACAAATTTGCCAGGGGCTGGCTTGTCTTTGTCCATCCTCTTCTTACACACGGGCAACGGCGGCCCATAAGAAAGCTCACGCAGATTCACAGCAAGATTGATCCGCTCGGTACTTATCATTAAGCTGCACTTCAAGGTTGTGCCTTCTTTGTCTTTCAAGTAGGGCTCATCTAAAAAATGGTGGTTGATTTTTATAATTGCCCGGATTTGGTACTTTATATTCGTTGTTGCTTATCTGATAGTGTCTAGTTAATTTGGGTATCTCTCTTTTCCTCGTCCCATCAAGGCCGGACTTGAGCGAAACAGGGGTCACTCATTTGTCATGTACAAATTTTTTGATGGATATTTCCTCCCTTGTTGGGCCAGCTGCAACAAATCAGCATCTACTGTCAATTTGGCATTGTGAAGTGTTAGAAGAACCCTGGAAACCCAATTAGCAATCCGACTTAGATGCTTTCGAAGTCGTTTTCTTGGCTGCAAGGGTGAGTGTGACGGTATCTTCGAACTTCGGTGATGGCCTCGGACGCCCGACCCGACAATTTTCAATATCCACGAGGACCCTCTTTTCCAAATAGCATTTCGTCGCTAGCCCACGAAACACACCTTTGGCTTCGGTGGGATCTCTTGCCTTTCTGATCACGGGCAACAGCCAAATTTACTGACGACATGCTGCACGATAACTAGCAATTTTGACAACAGAATGAGCGGTTGCAAATGCGACACTTACCTCCTTGTTTCAACCTAAATCATGGCGCATCCAATGAGCATGGCCCTGATGGAAGGAAACCCCTGGGGTCAGGACAACTATTGTTTAAACGAGACATATATGATATCCCCTAGATCTCCTCCCCGATCTAGAAGTGTCTGCTATAGGGTCTGTGGGGCTCATTGCGCCCCTTGGTTCCGAAGCAGATATCTGGATACAAGGACAGCTCGGCCGAACCAGACAGCAACCAGATATCCATCTTCCGAGCCAACACATAAGCCAAAGATCGTCCCTTCTGGAAACAACTATGCTGTACTGGACTCTCAATCTCTCCCTGGATAACCACAAACGTTTTTCTCTGTTGCCCAGCAAGCAAAGAGCAAGCCAAGAAAGATGCGTTGGACAACAATAACATCTAGGTCGCTGGCCTGCTTCTGGCTGGCTGCTAGCCAGGTTATGGCAGCGTGCCCATACGCAGACCAGTTGGTAGCGCGGTCCGAGACGCTCGACGAGTTATCTAAGTCGCTGCCTCACGTACCCGGTACCAGCTTAAGGGGGAGGAAAGCCGGGGGCAAGAAAGGGGTCTTTTTCATGTGAGTTAGTCAACAAGCACCTGAGCGCTTCCCAGGAACATTTGAATTCTATTGTCCATTCGGCCGCCATTCTGGCTTGAAAAGCTGCAGATGGATCCCAAAGTAACGAATACTTACGTGCGAATACAGGAACCGCATTGGTCCCTCTGCGTCGACACTCTATGTGGCCAACGCCGACGGCAGCAACGAGCGAGCACTAATTCCATCGAATCAATCTATCTTCGAGTACCATGCACACTTCTCCCCCGGCGGCAAATCCATAACCTTTACTTCGGAGCAAGAAGATGGAAACGCGGATCTTTATCGTATAGTGAGTCCCCCCCCTCCCCTCATTTTCAACGTCATCTCCTACGGACGAGTATACCTCAGTGTTGTTCGACAATCCTTGAGTGTCTTTGCCGAAGCCTCGAAAAACATGCTGATTCTCATCACCGAGCAGAATGTCGATGGAACTGGGATGACCTCGTTGGTCAACACTCCATCGCTTAAGATTGATGGTGTGATATCCCCTGACGGCACGCAGCTCGCGTATGTATCAACTGCAAACGGCTACGTCAGCAACATTTGGGTCATGGATTTGGAAACTGGAGTGGCCAGAAACTTGACCAACACAGCTGAGACCGTGGGTTCGCCAACAGAGGAAAGTCCTGACGGCCACTATCGTCCTGCATGGAGCCCCAATGGCGAGTGGATCTTGTTTTCTTCAGATCGAAACACCGACTGGACAGGCCACAACAACGGGACGGGCTGGGAGCACACGCAGGAGCTTTCTGTCTATGCCATCAGACCAAACGGCACAGACTTCAGGCAAGTCGCCAGCAACAGTGGCTGTTCACTCGGATCTCCTGCTTGGTCACCGGACGGGGCGCGTGTTGCCTTTTATGAGATAGCACGCGAGGATACCTACAATTGCCACCGGCCTGAGGCCATCAACAGCACTACGTCGCAAATCGTATCTGTCGACTTCGCCACAGGCGCAGACCGTGTCGAGCACACATCAGGCGCTGGTATCAAGTTCTCGCCGCAGTGGGTGACCAACTCGTCTCTGGGATGTCTGGTCAAGGGCCTCGATACCGAGGGTCTTAATTACACGGAATACACCAGCACGCACCAGCATTTCATCAACAGCATTCGCAACCCCTCCGTTGTACACAGCAAGCCGGACGGCTCTGACACATCCTCGCCTTTGACTCATACTCCACCAACCAGCTTCACGCATCTTTCGTGAACCAGGGACTGGCCGGTTCATTCCGGCCGACGAGGAGTGGATCGCCTTCGGGCTGGGCTACTGGTTCTTCGAACGCGCCCTGTACACGGGCTACCTCTACAGGGTCACCTCCAACGGCAGCTACTACGAGCAGCTTACCGACGGGAGCCACAACACCGGGTACCCAAGCTACTCCCCCGACGGCACACAGGTTGTCTACCGCGCCTGGGACTGGGACAACGGCGCGTTAGGCCTGAAGATCATGAATCTCACGGACAAATCGGTGAGAAACCTGACTGACAGCTGGGACAACACTCCAGGCTGGTCGCCCGACGGGACCAAGATCGTCCTCACCCGCCAGACCAACTGGACCGCTGAGTACGGCGGGCGGTGGTACTCGGACCGATTCGAGATCTGCACTGTCAACCCGGACGGCACAGAAATCGAGATCCTTACGAGCAGCGGCGCCAACGACGCCCATGCGGTGTGGACTGCCGACAACAAAATCATGTGGAGCAGTGGCATGTACGGCTTCCGGGACGAGTGTGCGACCTATGGCGACACGTTCCAGCCGTACGGTCAGATCATGATCATGGAGAAAGATGGCAGCGATAAGCGCATGTTGACTGATTCGATGTGGGAGGATTCGATGCCGCTGTTTGTTCCGAATGAGTTCCTGGAATGAGCGGTTTCATCCAAGACACAGAAATTCAAGTACATATCTAGTTCGACTTTTTAAGAGCTGGGGGTTTGAAATTTGGTCCTGACTGAACGGTCATTTCAGATTTTGTACATACACAATTCTACCAACTCGCAAGGCATGCATTGGTCTTGTTTGTCAACATTACTTCCTCCCGAGATGTCTTTCTATTCTGCTTCCATGAAGCCCTCCTAGCACAGTCAGCCAGCCTTCATCGGGACCCCCCACGGCAGACTGTAAGAAAAGATGGCCCAGTACGAGCTAAGTAGATCAACATGGCATAGGATTGAGTACGATCGCAAGACTTGGCCTCGTTTTCACTTCAAGACGTTGAGAAGATTTCATGATCACTTGGCAATGGAGATGAGTGTTTACATATTTTACATGAATCGCTGTCAATGAGGTTTGAAAAAATTGTACTTGTCTACATCTTGAGTTAAAGCTCTTTTGGATTTGTCACAACTAAATTCTAGACTACATATTTTTTTTTTTTTTTTTTTTTTTTTTTTTTACAGAAGATAAAGTGTTCGAGGTGCAGACCAATATCGGTTATCAGAGCCCCTCTCTCATCCCATGAAACCCATCGCACGCATGAAAGAATTACGTTCCGAATGTCTCCTCCGCCTCCGGTGGCGCCTCCGACGCTCCCTCTCGCGTTCATGTCGCCAATCGCTTGGCTCGGCACGGCTCACTTCGCGAGCCTCGGCCTGCGTCGCCGGGCGATAAATCCGAGTCGTCTCGTCAAAAATCCAGGTTCCTTCTGCACGGAAGTTCTGTGGGAATAATTGAAGCGAATCGTGTTCCTCTTTACGCGTCGCCAGGCGGAGGACTCCTGTGGTGGGGTCCTTTACGTACATGTCAGCATCCCTAGGCATTTTGAAAATGGTCAATATCGAATTATTGCTCGTCGAAAAGATTCATTCGCTGTTGCTTCGGATCTGTGATGAAATTATTTGTCAGACTGTAAGAATGGTGGACTTGCTTGAAGGTAAAGCTGCCTGTTTGCTCTCTATATAGTATGCTTGGGCCGAAGTGAGTGACTCGACCCGTGCCGTGATGACACTGAATACCACACTCGGACAGGACGAGTGAGTCTGATTCAAAGAGCACGTAAACGCACCCGCGCAAAGGCAGAAAACAACTCAAATTCTTGAACTCGAGGGCGACAACATAGTTTGGGCAGGTGCAAGTGACCTGAAGGTGAAGGCCGCTCCGCGTTCACAAAGGGACCGAAAGATGCGCTCTGACGCGGGTGGAGTGTCCGGGGACTGTGGAAGGCTACAAGTGTCGTGAGGGGTTTAAAAGCATGATTATAAAAGCATTTATCTCCTAAGAGTAATTTAAAAGGAGGAAATAAAAGAAATTTAGTTATTTAAGTATTTTAAAAAGTAATTATAAACCAGGATTAAGGATATATATATAACATACCTCTTAGTTAAAAGGCGATTCTTACCTTATTAACTACCTTATTTTTTTAAGCAATTAATTTATACTTAAAAATATTAATTATAACTTATTAAGCAATTAACTATTTAATCTTTTCTTATAATATATATACTTTATTACTTAAACTTTAACCACTTATAGCTTTATAACGCAACTTATAATTAATAATTAAACCTTTTTTTTAAACTTTTTAATTAAATTTATATTTAAAAATACTTACTTTTATTAATTTTAAGCATTTTTTTAATTATATTAAAAATAGCTAAAAGTAATAAAAAATAAGCTTTTAAGCCTTAAGCTATTTTACTTCTTTATATCCTTAAAATTTAAAAAAAAATACGCTTAAATTAATAAAAAGCTTATTAATAAAGATAATAAAAGCTTTAATATTTTTATTAAAATATTGTTAAATAATATATTTAAAAATAAGTTTCTTAATTAATTTAAAAATTAATTTTAAAGCATATATTAATTCTTAATATAACTTTAAAAAACCTTTAAATATATATAAATAGCTTAAAGCTTAAAATAAAACTTTTTTTTAAGGAAAAGATTAAAATAAAGCATAAAAAAAAGAAAAAGATATAAAGAAGCTTAAAAAGATTAATAAATATTGCATTTCTTATTTTTCTTATATTAAAAGTTTTATACATAGCTATAATAATAATTTTTATATAAATTATAATAATAAAAGTAATTATTATTATTATTATACTTAAGGTAATTTTTATAAGCTGCTTTTAATATTTCTTTTATTATTTATACTTTATCTTTATTATGCTTAATTTAGCAATTTCTTAGCGCTTAAAAAGTCTTAATATACTTAAAAAAAAGCCTTAAATATATATAAGCATAAGGAATTTAATTCCGCCTATATTAATTATATTCTTATAATTTCTTTTAATACTTAAAAAATCTTTACCTTATAATAATAACTTTTAAAAATTATAAAAAATAGGTATAAGGATATAATAAAGTGCTTTAAAGCTTAAATTACAATTACTTTAAAGTAATATAATAAAGTTAATATAAAAGCTTAAAAGCTTTAAAACTAAGTTATTAATAATATAGAAATTATAAAAGAATATAAGGATTATATTATTATTATAATTAAGCATTTTAATTTTAAAAGTAATATTAAAAAATAAATATTATTAAATTTTAATTTAAAATTATAATTAAAAATTTAATTAAAAGTTAAGAAAGTTTTTTTAAAAAAGTTAAGAAATTATTATAATAATTAAAAAAAGGTTTTAAATTAATTAATGTATTATTATAAAGATTAAAAGGTAGTTTTTAATTATAAAATAGTTATTATATAAGGGTTATATTATAATTTTTAAGAAATATAATTTTTAAGATTTTTAATAAAAACTTAATAATAAGAATAATTAATAAATAAATTAATTCCCTTTTATTACTTTCTTTATATTTTAAAGATTTAAAAAAGCTTTAAAATATTTAAATTAAGCATATAATAAAACTTTAATAAGTTTATTTATAAGTATTTTCTTAATTTTTAAATATATAATATTAAAGGTATCTTTTTTAAATTCTTATTTTAATTATATTTATTAAATATTTATATATTTAAGCCTTATTTTTAATTATTTATGCTTATTAATAATTAGGTATATAGTTATTTAATTATTATAATAAATAATTTAAGGCTTGCTTAAATTTAAGGTTATGTTTTTAAATAAATGTTTTAAAGCTATTATTTTTTTAATTATAAGCTTTAAAGCTAATAATTTAGCCTTAATAGTTAAAGTGGAAATAATTACTTATTTATATGCTTTTTAATATATAAAGCTCTTAAAAAGGGTTATTATGTACCCTTAAAATGATTTTTAATTTTCCTTATTATTAATAAATAAAGCATTTTTAATTATTAAAAGCGCTTAAGCTTCTTAATTCCTTTTAAATTATAATTTAAGGAATTAAATAGCATATAAATATTAAATTATATAGTTTGCTATCTTAAAGTAATTTAAATTTAGGTTTATAAGGAATCTTAATAATATAAAGTAAGGAAATGCTATATTTAAATATATTATAATTATTATATAAAGAATGAAACTAACTTTTTCCTAGAATTCTTAAATCTTTCATTTTAAAGCTTATTTAAAAAAAGGCTTAAGCTTTTCCTTAAGTATTAAAGTAAATAATAAAAAGTTTTTGCTTTTTAATAAGTTATATTTATTTACTATCTTTTTAATATATAAGTTATAGAAAAGCGTTATAATGCGCTTTTTTTAATTTTTAAAAATTTATATATTTAAGAATTATTAAGCCTTTTCTTAATTCTTTATTTTATATATAAATTTAATCTTATTTTTAATCCTTATAAAGGATTTATATTTATTCTTAAGATATATAATTAAAATATTATTTATATAAAAGAAAATTATTATTTTATAAGCTAAGCTAATAAAAAGGCATGGCTTTTTTAATAAGGGTTTTAAGCTTAAATTTTGCAATATATAACTAAAATCCTTATATTAAAGAAATGGGGAGTTTTTAAGTTTATAAAGTACCCTTAAAAGCACTTTATATTTTCTTAACTCCTTAAATCTATTAAGCAATTTATAATAAATTTAATTTAACTTTTCTTAATTAGCATTTAAGAATATAATTATAACATTAAATTATTAAATCTTTAAATTAAAGTATATAATAATTATTATTATTATATAAAATGATTTTATAATTAAGGTTATAATATATATGCTTTTTATAATAAAATAAAATTATAGGTTTTCTTAAATATAAATTTATGCCTTAAAAAATTTAATTATTCCGTTTTTATTAAGCTTATATTTATATACTTATTTTAAGAATAATAATATTAATTTTACTTTTTAGCGCTTAATAATCCTTTAAATATTAAGCTTAATAAGGCTTTATATTTCTTAATATATTACCTTAAGTTATTTATTTTAAAAAGGGCTTTTTTAAGCCTTTTTTTATATAATTAATTTTAAAAAGAGATTTTTATAATATTGCTGCATTAAATAAGGCTTAAACTTAATTTTAAGGGCTTAAATAATAGCTATTATTATATTATTTAAGGTTAAAAAATATAAATTCTTAAATATTCTTTATTTTTATTTTTTAAGCTAATTAAATAAGAAAGTAATTATAAAGTTACTTTAAAAAGTTATATTAAGGTAAAATATAATTATATTTATTAAATATAATAATTAGTTAAAGGATTTTTAAGAGTATTTATTTTAATTATATATTTAAGAAAATCTTTTTATAAGTTTAAACCCTTAAATTTATTTTTATATTTTCTTTATTTATATTAATTAAAAGGATTTTTAATTTTTTATAGCTTTAAGTATATATAATTCTTAAAAAAAAGGTTTAGGTTTATTAGCTTTTGCTTTATTAATAAAAGTATATTTCCCTTTATAAAAGCCTTATTTTAATATATTTAAGGTTTTTTTAAAGGTTAAAAATCCTTATTTTTAATTTCCTAAGTTTTTTAAAAAGGCAATATATAGCGAACTTTACTTTTTAAATTTAAAAGTTCT